GGAGAACCCAAAGTGCATCCTGCATAAATGATGAACTTCTCAAGCGACCCCAGAGGAGCAACACAGCCAGCGGGCTGCAAAACTTCCACCGGTTACAGCCGCCGGGCTGAGGCCGGGCAGGAGGGAGGCTGGGGAAGGAAAGCTCAGCGCTCCCAAGGTTCTGCCCTCTCCAAAGCCGGGTTGGCAAAGAGAGGAAGTCTCTGTCAGCTTTTTTTAAAATGACTAAGGTGCTGGGCGTGGTGGCGCACGCCTATAATCCCAGCACTCAGGAGGCTGAGGAGAGAAAATCTCTGTGAGTTCATGGCCAGCCTGGGCTCCAAAGTGAGGTCAAGGCCAGCCTGAACTGCATAGCGAGACCCTAGCTCAAAAAGACCAAAAAGATAAAAATGACTAAGGTTACACCAGGCCTGGTGGCACACACCTATAATCCTAGCACTGGGGAGGCTGAGGCAGGAGGAATGCCATGAATTCGAGGCCAGCCTGGACTATATAGTGAGACTCTGCCTTAAAAAAATAAATAAAAATTTCAAAATGACTCAGGTTTTCAGGAGTGGGGGAAAAAAATCACACAGAAATCTTATCTCCCTGGAAGATTTCAGAAATTCAATTTGGGCCAGGTGTGGTGGCACACGCCTGTAATCCCAGCACTCAGGAGGCTGAGGCAGGAGGATAGTTGGGAGTTCGAAAACAGCCTGGGCTACAAAGTAACCTCAAGGCCAGCTTGAACTGCATAGTGAGCCACTGTCTCAAAAGACTAAATAAATAAATAAAACTTATTTTTAAAAAAAAAGAAATTCAATTTGGCATTATCTTGATTTGGAGAGTAGATGCAGTGCAGAAAAAGGCCATGAAGATGTTACAGTTGTGCATTTTATTAGCGCTCTCATCACTCACATAGAACCCACTCTGAGCAGGCACTGGCCTACACACTTCACATATAGTCCTCTGGGACAGGTGTTATTAAAACCTTAGAACTGGGGACATGGGGACACACACTGCTTGAGGGATGTCATGGACCGAATTGTGCCTCCCTCCCCCGATTTCTATATGGAGGCCCTAACTCCCAGCGTGACTGTACTGGGAAATAGGGACTTTAAGGAAGTAATTGTTAAGATTAAATGAGGTTATGGGGGACCCTAAGCCAGCAGGACTGCCGTCCTTATAAGGAGAGGAAGAGACACCAGGAGTGTGAAAGTACAGAGGACAGACCAGCTGAGGACGCAGTGAGAAGGCAGCCACCTGGAACACAGGAAGCCTGCTGGTCCCTGACCTTGGCAGATGGTGGTGCATGTGGAAGGCGCTCGGTCTGTGGCACTCAGCAATGGCAGCTCTTGCAGACTAATATAGGCGACTGGCCTGGGATCTTTCCCCTGGCCAATGGAGGAGCGAGGGTTTGAATCCAGCTCATTTGGCACTTGAGTCTGCACTTTTAAGAGCTGTCACGCAGTGCAGTGCTTATTGCCTGAGAAAGGAGAGAGTAGGACAGCCCTACTGAGAAGCGGGGACCATTGTAAGAACCGCCAGCATTCCTAGCTTTCACTCTGCACCGGCACCCTGCCCTGAGCATTTGCATGGATTACCCACGCAGCACCAACAGCAATCCCACCAAGGCCTTAGTAGAATCCCAGGGGAGCCAAGTCATTCAGAGCCACCCAGAACCTGGGCCCCACTGCGAGGCAGTATAACTGAGCTGTTTTATTCCAGCCAGACCCAGCCCTTGTCAACTCTGCAACTGGGCGCCTGAGCAAGAGAGCCTCAAGCCCTCACTTCCCTAAGGAGAAATGTATCTTGCCGATTGCACCTCAGACAGTTAGGACCTTTCAGCTCCTTCTGTCCTGCTGACTGGGTCCAGGAGAAAACCTCAGCGCAGCACGTGGCTTCCAGATGCTTCTCACACCTGCTCATACTTCAACAGAAGTCAGTCAGATGAAATTTCAGCTTCTCTGGGCAATAGCGTCAGTCTTCTTATATTTGGGGAACTCCAAATTGCATGTACTGGGTCCCACAAGTCAGTGATGCTTTTGTTCAGACCTTTTCATTGTTTTTACCTTCTATGCTTGGTGTTGGTTTCTGTTGCTACATCTCCGTATTCCCAAATCTCTTCTTCTGTGCTGTATAATGGGTTGTTAGTCTATCCAGTTTATTTTTCATCTCAGACGCTGTAGTTTTCAAGTCTCGTTCAATGTTGTTTTTTTCACATCAGATGGGTAACATGCAAATGTCATAACAAGGTCTGAGGAAGGCACATCTCATGCAGATGGCATGAACACCCGTCATCATGCTCATGAACCAAAGGATCGATTTTTTTTCATGATTAACTTTTTGATCATGTAGGGTACAATTAAAATAACTTAATTTTCTTGTCTCTTACTTCTAATGTATCAGCTCTTGCTTTAAGTGGGTTCATTGGCTTTTCTTCTACCTATGATTCTTGTTTTCCTCGTTCTATGATTAGATGCTGGACACTGTGAAGCTGATATTGTTAGCTGCTAGATATTTGGGGGTTTTTAACATAATTCTCTTGATCTTTATTCTGGAATGCAGCTAATTTATTTGGGAATGGTTTGATGCTTTCGGGTCTTGTTAGGTGAGCTCCAAGCAGTGGTTAGCTATTCTCCACTACCGAGGCAAGAACTTTCTCAGCATTCCACTCAATACTCCGTTACTAGAGTTTGGATAAATGTGTCCTCGAAGGGCCTATGGTGGCACTGGAGGTGGTGGAACGTTTAAGAGGTGAGGCCTAGGGGCAGGTTTTAGGTTGCTGGGGCGGGGCCTTGAACAGGATTGTGGGGTCCCAGTCTCGTCCTCTCCTTCGATTCTTGACCACTATGAAATAAGCAACCTGCCCTGCGACCTGCTCCCCATCATAACATACTGCATCACCACAGGCCTAAAAGCAAGAGGTTCATCTAAGCATGGGCTGGAATCTACAAAACTATAAACTAAAATTAACTTCCCTTTGTGATTCCCTCAGGTATTTTGTTACAGTAACAAGAAGTTGCCTAATACACATGATGAAATTCTCCACTCTGGTTGATGAGAACACTGCTTCTGGCCATCTGGGAGGGTCACGTACTATTCCTTCCGATCCTTGCAGGAGCCCAAACTCTGCTCCACTGTCCTCTGCATGCTGACTTTTGTCCTCATGCTTATTACTTCATGACACAAAACAGCTGCTCCAACTCCAGGCTCCTGGACGTGATTCAAGCAGGAAGAGGGCAAAAGCATGGAGTAGCAACTCCCGAATCAGGAAGGTAAAACATTTCTCAGAATTTCACTTGCATCATCTCAGCCAGCATTGTAACATTTGATCACCAGTATCATGGCCAGTAAGGAAGAACTAAGGTTGGGCAGGCAGCTAACATGGTCTACAGCTACTTGTACACTTTTGAGTAAACTGCTAAGTCTCAGTGAATTATTCTTTTAAACACATTGTCAGATTCTACTGGAAGGTTTTTCTTACATCTACTGTGGTATTCAGGCTTGAACTAAGGTAGCAGAGACAGAAATACTGGAACATATCAGTGTATTTTCAGGAGCAGCAAGGTTTGTGACAGACTTGTGACTAACCACACAGAAATGGCAGGACAGGAAAAAAGAGTGAACAGGGAAAAAAAAAATGTGTTACTGTACAGTAATTCTAAAATGGGCGATGACCAGTGACACTAAATATTAAATTGTTTTCAAAAGCTGAAGTATTTGTAAAATTTTCTGATTTCAGATTTCTTTTTAATATTTAGGATTTTAATCAACATACAAAAGAATCTTTTTCTCTAGAGTCGTACAAAAATAGAACTACTTCTGTGGTAAGTTTAATAGTTTTGATGGCACATACTCCCAATACTCAGGAGGCTGAGGCAGGACTGCTGTGAGTTCAAGGCCAGCCTGGGCTACAAAGTGAGGTCAAAGCCAGCCTGAACTACACAGTGAAACCCTGTCTCAAAAAGACCAAAAAAAAAAAAAAAAAAGTTTAATAATTTTAATAGTATTTTAAGTTTTTTTTCAGAGATACATACCCAACTATTTATAGATAAAATTGTACATCTAGCATTTGCTTCAAAGTAACAAGAGGTAGGGGGGACGTGGATAGAAATAAAGATAAAACAAGACTATGAGTTGATATAGAACATGGTTACTAGGTATAAGGGATTCAGATACAGATATACTTATGTCTATCTATATGTAGATATCTGTATTTCCCAGTGGTGGGGACTCTGCCCAGGGAAAAGCACTCTACCACTGAGCTACACCCCCAGCCTTTGTCTTAAATTAAAAATAATTAGTACAGATTCTATTCCAAAGCATTTTATTGTTCTTTTAAAAAACACTACACATGGTAGCCGTCTTGGTTACTTTTCTCTCGTTGCTGGGACAAAATACCCGATGCACAAAAGAAAGCAAGGAAAGGTTTACCAGCTCACTGTTTGTGGAAATTTCAGGCCATACTCGGCTGGGTCCAAGGCGGAGTGGCGCATGGAAGTGGGCAACAGTTCATGGCGGTGGAAAACAACAAAAGCAACAAGAGCACAAAAGGCGGAAACGGTGACAAGCAGCCTCTTTCCCTCCCTTACACTGTATGCAAACTACCCGCCCCATGACTGCACGAGGACCTGGGGCGACATTCAGACACAAACCCTAACAGTAGCTACTCAGCGAGGATGGTCCTGCTGCTCCCTGTACTTGGTTCTGTGCAGCACGGACTGCACCAGCAGCTCCAAGGGCCACGGCCGCATTCAGTCCCCAGCCCCAGGGCACCCGCAGCCCGGCTCTGGATTTTGTCGAATTCCTAACGATAGTCCAAGCAACACTGACTGCATCTCTGCGCACTGCCAGCAATGTTAAGCCCAGAATGTCTCAAAGGTGAAACAGTTATACACACTTAAAATACATAGAAAAATAATATAATCAGGACTTATACAAAGTAGGTTTTTACAAAACAACTTCACTGCAAGAAATATATCTTTTAGTCTAGCACAAAACTGTGGAAATATACACAGAAGTTTACATTTAAGAAAAAACATTTATTATTTCAAAATGCTGAGTGGGAAGGCAAGGCTATGTTCTGGTTTACTGGTGAAATAGTGAAGAGAGCTTCAGTTTGGGAGCAGAAATTTGCACTCCATTCTTAAGCTCCTAAAAGCAGCGATTAAACAGCTGTTCCTCTCTCCAAGTTCTGCTTAATTTCAGCCGTATACTTCCCATAGAACCTTTCCGCTTTCTTGTTGAATTTGGCATTTCTTTCATTAATGTAGTCGATGTCTGCATCATCATTGTAAGGACGTCTTCGGCTGTATTTGTCTCGTTTTTCAATTCTGAAGGAAAGACAATAATTAATAAAGATCAAAACTGCCTTTTTTATCTTAATAAATCACACAGATAGCTACGATTAGAATCAGTATGTAAAATGGGGGGGAAGCAAGCTTAGTCGTCATCAATATCAAAACTGAAACTACTAGTTAGCAGCACAATCTCAGGTACGTACCAAGAATATCAGGCAGGCGTGGTGACACCCAACTACAACCCCAGCACTGGGGGGGCTGAAGCAGGAGGATTGCCACAAGCTCAAGGCCAGCCTATGCTATATAAGGATTTTTTTTTTTTTTTTAAGACAAGGTCACATAGTGCAGGCTGGAGATGGTGGAACCTTTAACAAATAGGACCCAGCAGGAGGAAGTTGGGGGTCACAGGGAGTAAGCCCCAGGAAGATCCTGGGACCCTAAATCTTCCTTGCTCTCTCACTTTCCTTTCTGCCCACCATGATGTGAACAGGTCTCCTCAGTCATCCGCTCCCACTGTGACGTACTCTGCCCACCACAGCCCAGAGCAGCGGGCGAGAGACCATGGACTGAAAGCTCTGGAACGCTGGGCCAGAATGAACCTTTCCTCCCTGTAAGCCGCTTATCCCAGGGGCTCTGTCAGAGTGACGCAGAACTGCTTCCTCAGTAACAATTCCATCCCACGACACCTTCATACCCACCCCAAATCATACAGACTCAACCCAGACTTGCTGTCTAACTCCAAAACCACTATCCGTGCCGGGTCAGAAACTGCAAGTGTCATTTCTGCCTGTCCAATTCATTCAAAGCACGTAGACTCGGATGCACACGGAAGTCTGTTCTGTTGGTCAGCATTTAACAGCTCAGGACGCCCTACGTGGTACTTACTGTTTTTCCAGATCTATGACCATTCTATCGATCTCCTCTGTGGAAGGCACGTGTGTCCCATGAAGAAGACTGTTGGATGTTGGGAAAAACTCTTCTCCACTGAAAAGATAGCAAAATGGTTTACAGTAACACTGCAAGTGTTCCATTTGCAAATTTCAAACTAAACTACCACTCATGACAAAAGATGAAGTATACACATATATTTACTGTGGGATTCCCACCCTAAAGAAATAAGACAAGATTAGAACAAACCTAAGAAATTACCTACTCCAATACCTTTTTCATTCTACTGGGCCAATGCCCAGAGTTTAAAGGAATTATGAAAATCACAAAGAATTGAGATTAGGGGTTCTAAGCTTAGGTTATTTCTCTTTCCACTACAGCAGGGGTCTGCAAACCACTGCCCACTGCCTGGCTTTGAAAACAGTTTTATTGGGACATAGCCAAAAGCGACCATTTGGGTACCCTGTGTGACTGCTTCCAAATCGCAGCAGCACAGGTGAGCAGTTCTTACCAAGGCCTATGGCACACACAACCCAAAATATTTACTATTTGGGCTTTAAAAAAAAGCTCAGAAGGGGGCTGGGGATTTAGCTCAGCGGCACAGCACCTGCCTGGCAAGCACAAGGTCGTGAGTTCAATTCCCGGTACCAGAAAAAAAACAAAACAAAACCAAAAAAAAAAAGGCTGAGGAGGGCTACGAGCATAGCTCAGAGGTAGGGCACTTGCCTTGGATGCCCCAGGCCCTGGGTTTACTCCCCAGCACTATAAACAAAGGAAAAGAAAAAGCTCACCCACCCCAGCACTAAAGTATTCTGCCTCCTAAATAGTATTTAATTATGATCAACTGGGTATTAACCGTTCAACGCTCAAAATACCAAGTTCAAAAGAAAACCAAGCAATTAGATTAACTGCTACGAAATGGTTAATAAATAGTGACAAAACAGTGTCCCTACTTAAGACAGCTGTAACCCAAACCCCTACGTTAAAATATGTTTGAGCTGGACACAGTGGAGCACACCTGTAATCCCAAAACTCTGGGAGGCTGAGACAGGAAGATCACAAGTTCAACGATAGCCTAAGCAACTTAGACGATCCCATCTTAAAATAAAATAGAAAAGGGGTTGGAGTTATAGCTCAGTGCAAAGGCTTTGGACCCAGACTGCAGTACTGGGGGAATAAAAGGTTGTTTGTATTTATGTATGTATATATGTAGGTGTACATCCATATGTACGCAAATAAGTCCATAGCACCTCGGTATGAAAAAGGACTTGCATTACACTTGTGGACTTACTGTTTTTCTCTCAGTCTCTCATAGCTTTCCATGTCAGGTTTGATCTGCTTGGTCAGCCGGTGATACTGGCGTAACTGGGCAGCAGCATAATCTAAAAATAAAGTAAGAATTAGAGATAACATGTATTATTCTTTTCATTACTATTCAGAGAAAGATTAACTATTATATGCACGAGACAGCAACTTAAGCAAAGTCTCTATCCTCAATATGCTGCTAAAAGACCAATTCATTTCATCAGAAAGAATAAAAGAAGCTGACTGAAGTGTTGCCTTTTTAGGTGCTGCCCTCTGAGATGCGTTTGCATTTTTCTTGGTCTCTTAAACAATACTCCACACAGGAAGAACCGCCAGGTATGGTGGTGCTCGCCTGTAATCCCAGCACTCAGGAGGCTGAGGCAGGAGGATTACCATGAGTTTGAGCCCAGCCTGAGCTACGCAGTGAGTTCAAGGACAGCCTGAAATATATAGGGAGACCCTGTCTTGGGAAAAAAGGGAAAAGGAAGAACAAGGCGCACATCTTTTCACAGAACCAGAGGCACTAAAGGCAATGCTTGCCTAATAAGCCTGTTCAATAAAGGAAAGACCAATTTTACCTGAAAAACCAAGATCAGGGTTTTTTCTCTTCTTCTTCCTCTCCCATCTTTCTGCATCTTCTGCACTGATCTCCAGCAGCTTCACTTTCTCGTAGTCTTCCCCTCTGGCTGCACACTCCTAAAGGGAAAAACAAAGTCAGTACCACGACTACAATGCCAACAACTCTTTGATCCATTTTAAAGCAAAACCGCCCAATAACGCCATCAAGTAATATTTTGTTTGGTTTTGGGTGTTCTGGATTCAGGGCACTGCTACGTAGCAGGCAGGCCTGCAACTCCTGATGCTCCTGCCTCAGCCTCCCGAGTGCTGGGGGTTACAGGAGTGTACCACCTTGCCGGCTTCAAGTCACACTTTTAAAAAACATAAACATGTAAAGGAAATTTCACAGTCTTCTGCAGGACATAAGGGAGCACACAATACTCAGTGTTAAGGCAGACGTCAGAACCTGTTTTAAGTGTTTGCGAGCATTAACTCATTTAATTCATAATTAAATCTATGAGAAGGCAGGGGTACACAGAGGTTAAGTGACTCATCCAAAATGTGGCAGCTGCTAAGAGCAGAGCCAGGGTTTCAATTCCAGCCATTTGGCTCCAGACCTGGGCTACTCAACTGCCACGTCCTCTTGTTCAGCACAAGAGACGCATGGCAGAAATCACTCATGAAGACAGTGGAGTAACTGCTCACCTTTTTCTTTTCTTCCTCCTGTAGTTCCCATTCCAAACGAGCTTTTTTGGCTTCCCAATTTGCAGGCAACTTAAGTCTTTTATCCTCTTCCACAACCTCCTGGTGATTTAATTTACGAGCTTCATTCTAAAAGCGTAAAACAAAAAAATAAATAAGTAAAAACATAAAACAGAAAGTTTTTCAAACGAAACATGAAAAGAAATCCAAATACAGCTTGCCTTTTTCTGGAGGAGGGTCAAGTGGGACACATTAACAAGACGACCTCCTTTTATCCTAAAAGCAACACAGAGCTATCAAATGTATTTAAACAAGGGAGCAGCCTGATAGGGTCCGCGCTGAAATACAATCAAGAAAAAGACGCTGCTCCGGTTTGCTGAAAGTTACTATTCTGCAGTCCCTTGGGTTGGATCAGAACAAGGATTTGCAAAGTGGGGAGGCATACCGCTGTGGCACTGGAAGATATTCTACTTTTAAATCCTGATTAATTCAAAGCAAAAGCCTCAATTCGCAGTTAAAGGGCTTTAACACCTATTTCAATCTAACACTTTCCTAGGCTCCCCTCCTTTTTTAAATATTTTGACATTTTGTGACAGATGAAAGGACTTTCAAATATGAGGTACTAAGGAAGAGCCTATTTCCAAACAAACTTAACTGCATAAAACAAATTGAGTAAATTATCTTAAGAATTACTTGGGGCCGGGGATATAGCTCAGCGGCATAGCACCTGCCCGGCAAGTGCAAGGTCCTGAGTTCTAGTCCTGCTATCAAAAAATAGAAAAACTTAAATTAGGTATTTCTTAGGTCACAGGCTGGTGGCAGCTCAGGAAGCCAGCTTCTTAGTTTCCAGACATGTTCTTTACACAATCTCTCTAAGTAAATGTTTAAGCATGTTTGTTTAATTGTTCATTAACTTTTTTCTGGACAAAGAGAGACGGCCTCTCTACTACCACTCCTCACATACTACTCTTGGCTCTGGCAATGCAATGCCCTTCAGTGTGTAGCCAAAGTTGGGCCCACTGCACTGAAGGGCAACAAACGGGGAACATTTCAATGAGTGTTAAAAGAAGCTAATTACAGAGTTTGGGTTTTACGAGGTGAGTGGTGGTAAGATTCAAGACTCGAGTTTAAGCCGGGCGTGGTGGCGCACGCCTGTAATCCCAGCACTCGGGAGGCTGAGGCAGGAGGATTACCGTGAGCTTAAGCCCAGCCTGAGCTGCAGAGCGAGACCCTGTCTCAAAAAAAAAGACTCTTGAGTTGGCCACTGTCAGAAAACAAGGGTGTTCTATAAATAGCTTAAATTTCTACCTAGAAGGTAAAGACTAAGGGCTGGAATTGGTAGGTTAATGGTGTCCAGAAGAAAAAAAGGATGCGTGGCCATTTCTGTGATTTAAATAGTCTTGGATTTGTTTCACTACAATAGTTGGAGGTTTGTGAAACCATGTCTGAGCGGTCAAGTCAAAGCATTCCCAACTGAAATAGAAACTGCCTTTTTCTTAGTCCCAAATGTGTCCCAATTCTTACTTCCTATTGTTTGCTGACTCACTCCTATTCCAAATTCTCTTCCTTCGTGTTTGTTCCCTCTGCTTGGATATCTCCTCCTCCAACGCCTTTATTTGGTAATTACTCATCTTTCAAAGCATAGTTTAGGTGTCTCCTCTTGAACAAGACACTCCCTCGAGCCCCTTAAAACTTATGAATCTCTCCTTGTCTGCATTCCCTGGGTGTTCTATTCCTACCTCTAACATTGCACTTACCACAGTATAATTTCAGGCTATGTGAGGTATCCAGTACTTGACAACAGAGGCCTTAATTTTAAACATCTGATCTCCCACACACCGGCTAGGCCACACACTGTACACTTTCAAAGGTGTGCTCGGTATTTGGGGCGGAGGCGGGGGATGTTTCACAGGGTCTCCCTATGCACTTGAGGCTGGCCTTGAGCTCACTCTGTAGCCCAGGCTGGTCTTGAACTGGCAAGGATCCTCCTGCCTCAGCCTCCCGAGTGCTGAGATCACAGGAGTGCGCCACCACGCCCAGCCTGGTGCTCAGTATTTTTTAACTGTCGCTACGTAAATTTTGTTCCAACTTCTGGTTCTACAAATCTACTTCGATAACATAAAAAGTCTGTTACAATCATAGAGCAGGAAGGCTGTTCGTAATGCATTCTCAAACCCAGCCCAGATAAATTAAACCAGAGTAGAGGGTGGTGCAGAGAACAGATGTAGTTTCAAAAGTTTTCCAAGTCGTCTCGATGTGCTGCCAGGGTTAGAACTAATAAACAGAGCTTTCATTTCAGGGTGACCCTGCCGTGGCCTGTCGGGCCTGCTGCTGCACCTTCTTTGTCCCTGCACAAGGGAAGACGCCCGAGCCGGGGCAGGCGTCGGGTCGGAGCTGGTCTCCGGGGCGACTCACCCGCTTCAGATGCAGCTCCCGGAATTTTCGCAGTCTCTGTTCGCGCTTCTGAGCCGCCAGCTCCTCCGCCGCCGTGCAGGACCCCTCCTCTGCGATGTCCACCGGAGCCTGTGGCAAGAAAAAAAAAAAAAGGCTTCAGGAGGGGCTCGGCCTCTCCCGGGGCTGCCCAAGCCGAGTCCCGGCGGGTTCCGACCGCCCAGGCGGAGCCTGCCACCACCGACACGGTCCCCGCGGTCTGCGCCTTCTTAGCCGGACACCCAGGCCCTCGCCTTCATCTACCGGCCCTACCACTCCCCAGAATTCTCACCAATAAAAACTCCGAGGTAGGCCGATGGACACTCACCGTTTCGACTTCGGTCTCAGCCGCCATTACACCCCTCCTCTCTCTACTTCCGGCAACAACACGGATCATTTCCTTCAGGCAGCCCTGCAAGCGCGCAAAAGCAGCTACAAGCCCCGCCCCTTCCGGTCAGCCTCAGAAACTTGGGACCAATAGCAGCACTTGCAGTGGTGAGATGTTTTTTTCGGATCGGGTCGTGCGCAGCTGCAGAAGGTTGCGGAAGAAAGGCCAAGGAGGAGAGAGTTGGGACAAATCCGGTTGGCAGGAGCTCGAAGAGGATGTCTGGGAAAGGATCCTGTTAGGAGATAAACGAACAAAACCTGTTCGTTTTGCAAGACAGACTTTGCCGGACTGTCGTGTGTCATGTTAGTACTACTGACACTATTTTGATTCCCTTTCATAGGACAACATGTTTGTATTGTCTGTTGAAGATTGCAGAAGAGCAGTCCAGTCTTGCTCACACCTACGAGCCCAAAGAGGAAATAGTGCTAAAGTTATTGAGATAAAGCAGTAAAATGCTGGATAGAAGAGAACGTATGGAAACTAGTGTTTCCGAACAACGACTAATTATATGTAAAA